CGGCGGTCGTGGGGGTTGGCGGGGGGCTCCGCGGCTGCTGGAGGGCTTGAGGGGGCTTCGGGGGGGCTTCGGGGGAGCGGGGCGCAGCGAGCTTTCACCCGCGCGTCTCTCGCCGCTTCCAAGCCTAACTGGGACAGTTCAGCCAAAGTGAATGTTAACTACAGAATCCATTTTCCTGTTAAAATTCTCTCCCATTTACAGCACCTTAGGCATATGTAACCAGGGTGTCAGGATAACTGCTTCAGACATTTCCTGCCCCAGTTATGTGCAAGAAAAATTATGAAACTATATCCCTGATACCTTCTTCTATGAAGAGCAAAAGAAACTCTGATTGCATTATCAACAGTAAAAACCACTTAGCCTCTTTACTGAGTGCTGAGCAAGTGAAAGGAAACTAAAATTTAATTCCAACTTTAGAAAAGCAGTTTACATAAGCTGCCAAGTTCAACAAAAAATATGTAGAATTAAACTGATGGAAATATGCCATTCAAAGACAAGCCATTTTGTTTCTTTTATAACACCATATTTCAGAAGTAGCATAACACACACTCTGATACAGGGGTGATTACCTAGCTCTGCTCATGGATGGCACCACACACTCCTGTCACAACCCAAAGTTGTGGATTTTTGATTGTGTGCGCTTCAGCACCGCTAAATTATGTTCCCGCCAAATTGCAGCTCTTTTGCACGACGGAGCGTTCTGTTGTTATAGAGAACCCGCGTGCAGAAAAGTGTTTCCCGTCGTTTTGTAGCCTTCTTTGCATTGTGCATTTCTCTTGCATTATAGTGATGCACGCTGCAAAGGAGTTCCCGCCATTTGTATTAAGATTTGAGCCACATTATTGGCCAGTCTTAATATAGGCACACGTGGCGGCTAGCTATTGGCTTGCTAGCCGTACAAAAGGCTTGGGTGGTTTCCGCCCAAGTTGGAGAGAAAGACGGAGAGACAGCTCTCTAAGCGCTGTGGGTCCTTTCAAACCCAGCGCATCTTTCTTAAGTAGGCGATAGAGGCTCCAATTGCCGAACCCCCGGAGCCTAGCAAACTCCGGGGCACCACTCACCGACGGCCTCTAGCCTCGAGGATTGAAGCGGAGCTGTACCTGGAAACTGTCCAGCCTGCACCGCGACCATCTCCGGTGTAAGTAAATAATCTTTTCAATCAACCATTACGCCTCCGTGACTGATTCTAGCTCGAGCGTACTACTCCACCCCGCAGTTTTTCTCCGGCCCCGCATGCCCGGGCTGCCGGCCACAGCCCGCGTGCACACAGACAGGCCCGGCTCGCGCCCGGCGAGGACGGGACCGGGAGCCGGCCCGCACAACTCCAAGAAGCAATGCATATGAGGGCAAACCCCCACCCCCAAATACACCTGAAGACGTCAGCAATTGAGGCAAAATCCTTCAATCCAGTTTTTCATCCAGCAGTTTTTAACTTCTGTATCTTCCTTTTCTAAAAATCTGGGTGTCAGTTAAAGTTTGTTTTTCTTTAGCCAGAAAACCCTCCCACATACTCATCTGAGCACTTCTTGAAGTTCTCTAAACATTTTTTATAGCGCTGGACTTTGTCCAAATATTTGAGCTACCTGGTTTCTTTAGATGCATCTCAAACTTTCTGTTTACAGTGTAGTAAGCTCTTTATTTCAAGACCTTACTAATTTGTTCCAGCACTTGGAAGAAGCAGACAAACATCACTCACTGGAACTGGCAGTTTCCGTCTTCTTTTTGTACTTTCTCTGAAAATTACAGTTTCCAGCACTTATCTTTGCATTCTTTCCTTTCCTGTCACCATTAAAACTTTGTGTCTTATCAAAGGGAAGTGTGGGCTTTCTGATGTTGGTAAAGACAGTTAAGAATCTCCCAGTGAACAAGATTTAGGTCTAGTGTTCCAAACACAGCTCTACTCACCTGAGTAGAGCTTACAAGTAGGCCCCTGTATTGTTAGGTAGACATTTCAGGACGTGAGTGGGGCAAAGAACAGTAGAAAGGAACTGAAGAGGAAGGGGGAGGCTGCATATCTGCTCCTGTCCTGAAAATACATTCATACTATGGGGAGGAAAGTTCTTGGAAGTCATTACCTTGCCTCCCTCCTTTCTCCAAAGCTTCCCAAGCCATCTGGTTGTGGTAGCAGGCTGTTCCTTGTCTCTCCCCTGGAACATAATGCAACTTTGACTACACAGATATGAAGTGGTACTTTACCGCACTAGCAAAGACAATTATGCTGGTATTCATTAGAGTGCTTATTCTAGTACAGGTGCTGCTATAAGTAAAATAGAAGTAGCTATTATGATTGTAGCTATTATACCAGTACAAATGCATCACACTGAAGGTCACACTGGTATAACTATATTATAGTATCATATTGTAAAAATGTTTTTTTAGACCAGTCAGTAGCCAGACACCCTCACACTGCTCTTCTCTTCCCTTTGGTGGCCAGTCTGGCTGCAAAAAAGCATGCTGCTTGGTTCCATGAAGCCAAAGTGATAACCTTCCTCACCTGAAGCCAGACACAGCATGCAGCTTTCTCCTGAGTTAGCCATTGCAAGGTGGCAAAGCAAAAAGCTTGCAACAATAAAATAAATAAAAACAAACAATGACAATGAGGCCTTCCATTTTTTGAGTGCATGACTGTGGATAATTTAACTAAATATAATTTTTAGCCAAAAAACTTCAGAAAAATACCCAGCACACCTATGCTGTTCTTTTTTTTTTTTTAAATCTTCAGAACCTTCCTGAATGCGGAAAGTTGCATATCCATCCTTGAACAAGGAAACTCAGAGAACAAACTCCTGTACTGTATAGGTAAAGGGTCGGCAACCTATGGCCTATTGGCTGAATCTGGCCCACAAAACCATTGGATCTGGCAGCATTTGACAGCTGAGAGCTTTACCCTTGCCATGCTATGGTCAGGTGACAGAGAGAAGTGGGCGGCCAGGTCCTAATGGTGGCCTGTGTCAGACCTGAGCTGAGTCATTCTGGGCTGCTGTTGGAAGACATCGCCAGCCACCGGTATACATGGCTACCCTCAAGTCTCCTTGCAAGCCTGTGTAAAATTGTCAGCTAGAGTCTTTGCTCAAAGGAAAGCTAAAGCATGGCTTATCTGCTTTATCCAGAAGTACAGTATCATGCGGCAGAAAGCAACCATTTACACAACACAGAAACTCACTGTGTACATTAGGCTAATTCTGTACAAGTCCCCAAAGAGACACTTGAAAATTAGTAGTTAGGAATCATTTATAGAAAATAAAATTTCTGTATCTTTATTACAAAGACCTCATCAAGTTATTAAAACTATAATATGCAAAGAGAACAATTTATTTTTTGCTGAACTATCTTTCTTATTTACCTTAATTTTGATAAGTTTTAATGGTGAAAACCAATGGATTATTTCATTTGTAGGCTCTCTACTCTAGCATATGCTTGGTTTGGTTTGCAAATACTGTAGGAAACATTTGTTAACCTGTCTCCATGAGAACTTACTTTTATTTCAGTGAATGGCTATTGTCATTAAGGGTAGTGAGAGCTGGTTTTATGGACCAAACTTGACACAATACTGTCCATCTGTCTTAAAATAAAATTTAAACATATTAGGATATGAATATTAGTCTAAGGTGATCTGACAAATAGGTACATTAATAAAGTCCCAGCATTTTGGAGCTTAAATTCATATTCCAGACCCAAATCTTCAGCCTCTGTGCATGAAGAATATCCATTGCTCCTATGCCCAAAGAAATTCTTTGCATGTCCCTACATAGCACAATATGGTACCATGCAGAAGTGCTCCATACTAACTGTTAATGTAGTGGCTTATACACTCAAGTTCATACAACAGGGCAGTAACATGCTGAAATATCCAAGGCATGTCAAGTTTTGCAAGCATTAGATTCAAAACTGGATGGGGCTGAGCTGTGTTAGCACAAGGCTTTGCCAAGTTAATCAACTCTGCACAGAGCTGACTTGCCCCACATAGACTACAGAGGGTAGATAGTATCCTCTATACTCGTAGACTAATTAAGGATAGATGGTATCCTTAATTGGATACTATATCAAAACAGACTGCTGGATGAGAGGAAAAAGATTCCTGTTCATGGCACGCAGCCTGTTCCTGTTACTTTTCTTCTCCGCCATCATGTTATGGAGGATGTGCTGGGGCCATTGACTTATGTTGTGCATTTCTTGTGGTTTTCGGAGTGTATTATTATTAGCTATTTTTAAAGTAAGGTCTATGGAAGTTTGTTGGTAGGCTTCATACAGAACTGGATTTTAAGGGAGGATAGTGAAGAACTGACAACAATCAACTGGCGCACATTTTCAAGGTAGCTATTCAACACCAGTGGACTGTAGAGGAGAAGACAAGCACAGAGAACGAAAGGATACCAAAGGAACAATGAAGTATGTAGACAAAAGTAACTGCTGAAATATTCCCAAGTATAAGAGGCTTGAAAATGCTGCAGAAGAGAACATTTCAGCCACAGGACATACAAGAAATGCTGCTGCACCCTCTGGCTGGAAGACTTCAAAACTGCTGTGACTACATACAGCTATACCTCTCCAGCTATGGGGCACTATAGGGAGCAGAGAATGTCTTTTGTCAGAGCAGAAAGTCTGGTGGAGTGGGAGACAGCAGTAGCAACAAGGATGCCCTGCCACTGGGATACTTGGCTCTCAGCCCCTGCCCTTCTCCTCTTCCCAGACCAAAGACTTAGTGGAGAGTAGGAGCTGGAGAGGCTGGCTCCAGTGGCAGGGTGGATGCAGGACTCTGACAGGGGGAGCCAGAGTGGTGACAAGCATAGGGGGTCACCGTGTAGGAGGTCACCTGCAGGGGTTTATAGTTAGGACCTGAGGGCTGGCTCCCGGACAGTTTGCAACTGCTGCTCTGACTGCTTAAGCAGTGCCCTGGCTGCCTGTAGCAAGGATCTGCTCTACCATCCTACTGCAGAGCAACACGCCTGCAATAGGCACTAACAGTCTCTGGTTTTCCCCCTGGCTGCCTATTCCCCTGCAGCCAACTCATCAAGGGCATTGTTTCTCTCACCTGGAAAACCTCCCAGATGCTGAATCTTCCTTAAAAGTAAAAGAAGCCTCTGGCTCCCTGTTAGAGAGCCCCAGTGGAAGTCAGCAAGGGTCTGGCAAAAGAGTGCAGGCAGCTTGTGGTGTTGTGCAGTGGCTCCCCAGCCCCTGGAACTGGGATTCCAGTCCTAAGCCCTTGAACCTCTCCTCTCCCCCTCTTACCAGAATGAAGGAGGAGGTGGGGATTCGGCTGGAAAGTGCATCCTGGTGACAGCAACAGGACTAGCAGCAAGACCCAGCTGTTGGGCAGTTTAGCAAATTGTCAGTCAACCTGCCAGACTGTTCACCCCATTTTACCTCCCTTGTGAAGTAGGAGAGAGAGGAAGGTGAGTGGAGCACTGGGGGATTCTGGAGGACCTTGGGGTCCCCTGTCTCTGTGCACATGCAACAAAAAATGAAATACTTCAGAGAGGACTTCATTTCAAGAGGTCCTCTTTCAGAGTACTTCAAAGGACATGTGTTTTTGACACTCTTCAAAGGGCCAGCTGTACAAACCTGTCCAAAACATTTCTGTTGTTACTTCTGTCGCAATATAAAAGTTTGAGGAGAATAGACCAAATGAGAGGAAGACACAAGAGTGGAGATGTGAGTTGGACTGGTGTCATACTGAACCTCAGAGGCAAGATCGGAAAGTTAAAACCATATATGGGAGCTAAGAAAAGGGGCATGACAGTTGAGATACAGGAGAGGAAGAGAAAGTTGTTGGGTTTTTTTCCTAGTAGCATTCTGGATGTGCTAGAGGGGTGTAAAATGAGTCAAGGTAGACTAACCAGGATATTAGTAATTGGCACAAGACAGGGGAGAGGGGGTGGGGGAGGCAAGGCTTTAGCAGCATTTTAAAGAACTAACAGGATTCAGCAAAATCATAGGTATTGGCTGAGAAAAGAAAATTTGACTATGACTCAAACTATACATGATGCAGAAACTCAAGTGAAATCTTGGCCTCATTGAAATCAGGGTAGGTTTTTGTCACTGACTTCAGTGGGGCCGGATTTCACCCCATCTTTGTCCTCAAAAAGAAAAAGTGTCATACACACTTACGGCGTGGTATACAAAAATGTCATAAACACGACAAGGTTCTTTGAGTAGACATGATATCTTTTATTAGACCAACTACATAGTTGGAAAAATTGTTCGTTCCAAGCTTTCAAGCACAAACACCCTTCTTCAGGCATAGGGAGAGTCTGGTGGTGGTGGTGTGCTACAACCAACAACCTCATAAGCATGACTTCACTGTTGCAAGGCTGCTTGTGTGAGGGAGGATGATGAATTTACCATCTGTCACCAAGAGGAGGAAGAAAAAGAAAAACTGAGGGGGCATTTTTTTAAAGCTAAACTGAGTTTGAACTGGAAACAGAACACATGTGAGGAGATGGGCCTAAACACCGAACATGTGATAGATTTGAAAATAGCCAGCAGAGATGAGAGAGATTGAGCCCATATGAATCTGAGCCCATATAAGTTGTTACTGCGCAGTCAATAGGTACTTGCTAAATCAAGTACTAAATGACTACAGTAACTGCCAGTACTGTATAGTCCTGGTACCACACATGTCATTTCTGCCCCTACTGTGCAGTAGCGCTGGTGTCACAGTTCATGCCCCCCAATGCTACGTCACCAAAGTGTCTTGTATAGACGCATCCACTGTGTTGCAGTCTGAACTTACCCAGGCTACCTTGGGTAATGGAAACAGTTTAGTTACTGTAGTACTGAACTCTGTGCACCTCATTTATCCATCCTATGCTATGGCTGCTGGACAGCTTCCATTGCCTTTCTATTAATCTTTGTATGAAATGTCTTCATTATAGTTAAACAAAGTAACTACATTTAACTATAAACAAGCATTCTTAACACAGGTAGGCTTTGTAGTAATGTGTCATCCTGTTTATCCATATAAGAGGCATATCACATGGTTCTGTGTGTTGAGATGTTCTTGGAATCTCTCTAAGCCAGTTATCTCAGGTGCAGATTAAGCTACCCGTCTTCCAGGGAATTATGGGAAGGACACTGGAGAACTATCACCCTCCACTGATTTCATTTACATTGGGTAGGGTGGATTTGCATCTTCTAGACTGGGGTGGGCAATTATTTGGGCCCGAGGGCCACTTAGGGAGTTTTGGTAAGCTGTTACAGGCTGGGTCTGCCCTCCCCCATCCTGCAGCAGCTCACCAAAACTCCCCAAGAGGCTCAGTTCTGCTTAGTGCTCAGCTGCACAGCTGGAACAGGGCTGCGGGTGGCTGGGGTGTGGTACCTGGGAGCGGAGCAGGCAGCCGGGGTCAGGGCTGGAATCACGGGGTGGTGACAGTGCAGGGCTGGGGCTGGAGCCCAGGGCAGAGCTGCAATCCACTCTCCGCACACTTCTGCAGCAGGCACCTGTTCCGCAGGCAGGAGCATGTGGGGAGTGGATCATGGCTTTGCCCCCGGCCCCAGCCCTGCACTGTCACCACCCCATGATCCCAGGGTCTCCATGGAGACCAGCAGGACTTGTGTAGGCAGGGTGCACAGTCAATGTAGATGGGATGGGTCCATGGGCAAGCAGGGAGTGGCATCCAAGAGCAGAACAGGCAGGTGGGGCCAGGGCTGAGGCCTGGGGCAGAGCTGAGATGTGATCAGCTCTCTGTATGTCCCTGCCCATGGGGCCAGCACCTATCACAGGGACACATGGGAAGCAGATCATGGCTCTGCCCCAGATCCCAGCTCAGTGCTGTCACCGTCCTATGAACCCAGCCCCACCCATCCTGCTCCTGGACACTGCTCTCTGCCCGCCCATGGCCCCATTCCATCCTCCTAGCCATGAGCCCTGCCTGTGTGGGCTCTGCCT